TCTATGGTCTCATATGGAAACATCAGCAGATTTATTTGTTTAATTAATGTTTCAGGGTAAAGGGAAAAATGTATAGATAAATACATTTAAAGGTTTTGAAAGTTTCATGGCAGCAGTCCAGTACTGCTTTCCTTGCCTTTATTTGCTGTCTTTGGGAGAAAAAAAGCAGTCCATAAAGCTTAGAAAAGTGATCTGTCTCTGGGTCCTGTCACCTGCCATTTCCCTGATGTAGCACCATGATATACAACAGCAGACCAGCACTCAAGTGATGTATTACAATAATATGTCAGTAATGCAGTGGTGCTTTGATAACCCTCAGTAATCAGAGTACTTCACTGGAGAGAGGGCCAGGGGAAAAGGAAGAGCCAGGCAGAAGCCTCAGCCTGTTGCAGTGTGCGGTGCCATGAGTGAGTAAGTGATGAGTTGACTCCAGGAGTAGTTATGATGAGTTCTCCTGAGCAGCACCGTATTCCCTGATAGAGGGGTATTTGGCACAACCACAACAATTTCATAATGTAGTAAACAATGCTGATACTACTCTTAATAAAGGGAATAAGAGGTCCATCCTTCACAGAAATAACAGCTGGATTCAGACAAAGATTGAGTTCCTGCTCATGTTTCTAGGCTATGAAGTTTAAGTGCCTGCACTTGACTTCCCAGCTGCACTTAGCTGGGCTTCTGAACAGCTGAGCACTGGGTTTCAGTGGAAGCTTGTTAAACCATGGCAATTTTATCCTTTGTGCCTGTCTGTCCATAACTTGTAGCTCAGGATCCCATGAACTCAAGTGTTACACTATCATTGCTGAAAAGAGGGGCAGACACAAACATTTCAAAAGCTGTGAGGTCTTCTGCAATGCTGAAAGCATCTCATACATCACACTTGGAGATGGCCAACCTAGTCCTTCATGGCCTGACTTTTTCAGCTTTCTGACATAAAGAAAATCAGAAACAATTGCAGTTTATGAACCTCAGACCTAAAGGAAAGGTGTGTGTGCATGCATGAGCATGGGTGGAGATGGCTGATGCATATCCAGAGACACACTTCCATGCTCCCTTTTCTGTTTTTCAACAGTCTCTTCTGCCAAGGAGTGAAGAAACTTTTTCTTTCTTTTCTTTTTTTCCCCCCACATTGGCACTTCATAGTCTCTTAAAAGCTAAAATCAGATAGGTGAGAGCATAGGATTTATGGGGTTGTGCTTGTACAAGCAGAGTGTTCTCCCCTCTTATTCATGTCTGAGGCTCCAAAGAGAATCTGCCTGTAGAATGAAAAGGTAAGAAGGTAATTATTTTTGGAGAGGAGCACTAAGAAGAAAGGAGAGGTAGTTGTTTTCTCTTTTATCTTAAAAATCTTGCCTTAGAATATTTCTCTGTTGACACTCCATGTGCATGCATGACCCTGAACAACAGAGTTGGAGGGATAGATATGGCAAGGGAAATTCAGAAGAGAAGGCTTTGCCAAAAGGAAATCTAAAAAGGACAAAGATTGAAAAAGCAGCCAGGGGTAACTCTGATGTACAAAAATACATTTATTTTCAACAATTCCAAAACCACTGCCTTTTTTTACAGTAGAAATATTCAAATGGAACAATAAAACCAAGAACAGTATATATATATGTATATATATGACTCATGCAGTTGTATTACTGTGTTCAGTACAGGTATTGCAATTGTCTGTCTCATTTAATCCTTTGAAACCACAGTGGTGGTTTGGGTTTAATGCACTGTCCAACATCATCAGAAAGAATGTGTGGATTCTGGTTCAGTTCATTATCCCTGGAATGTGTGTGGGAGCTGGGTCTCACCTCTGATCCTTCCAGGTTTAGTGGTAGGGTTCTTGAGTACCAGTTAAGCTAAACAAATGATCTGTTCATGGTTTATATCAGACTGTCAGCTGCACAGAGCCAGAAGCTGCATCTAGTCTCCAGATCTCATGCATTATTCCTAAATTACACCTAATCCATCATGGAGGATAGGCTGGCAGTGATAGAGGGCACTGACCCAGTCTCTTGCTCTCTGTCTCTCTCTCTTTCATTTCCTCTTTTTTCATAATTACAGTGTGGGATCTATTTATGTTCCATCGATGCCATTGCCTATTTCCATCCCTACTCAGGTAAATAATAATCTACAGCTTCAAGGATTACCATTACCATTTACCTCAGGGGTAAAACTTGCAGGGGGGAAAAAACCCTGATGGCAACCCCAGGTTGTTATTTCCCAGCAAGACAAATAAAAGTGGCCAGTACTCCAGTCTGTGCTAACACTGCAGCTCAAACAGGGCTGGCTGCCCGATCCAAACCTTACAGAGCTCCCATGGATGGACAGGAATGAAATAGCAACCCTTCCTGTATTCTAAAGGAGCAGATTTCAGTCATGAACCCAAGCTTTTTTCAGCCTCCATCAGCTGTGACTGTGCCCTAGAAAAGCAGGAATGACCTGGTGAATGTGGTCTCATGTACAGCTTGGGGATGTGCCTGCAGCACATACCCTGGTCCTGACAGCATGAGCCAAGCTACACTGAGAGGCAGCAACATCCACCAAGTCTTATGGAAGAAGTTTGAGCAAATGTAAGAATCAGTCAGACTTTTCTGACATGCAGTTTTGGCTTCATGGATTTTTCTTGTTTGCTCTGTAGGATACTTTAAGATCATTTTGGATGGAAAATTACATCCTAGACAGGTGTTTCTCCAAAAGTGTCATTCAGAAATTTCTCAGCCTTCACTGAGATTAAATTTCTTTTGAGAAGTGAATTTTTTTTATGTTTTATTCAATGGCTTATTCCCAATTTTTCCTTCTTACTTTCTCCCATTTGAGACATTTAACAGAAATTTTTAAAAGTGTAAAGGAATAAAATGTAAAAAAATGTGAAAAGAAATTAAGAAAAAAGATTGCAAAAACTAATCCTCTGCCTTTCATGTTAAAACAACATGAGGTCAAGCCCATGAAAACCCTATAAAATTCCAAACGTGGTTTCCAAAGGAAATAGTTAATACAGAAAATACTGAGTATTTTACATTCAGTCCTCTGCAGCAGCTCAGCACAGCAGTACCTCAAATCCTAATGATCAGCAAAGACTGAGATCAGCCCACAATTTAGCTCAAAGCCCATGGGACCATCGTTTATGTACATCCCTCCCACCTATACCTCAATGGGAAGCTATGGCCTTGTGCTAACAGTCCTATCACCAGACTGGGCTATTACAGTAAACTACTGTGGTGTTTCAGAACAGAGACAGTAATGCAACAGTTTATGCACTTGTGATGGATGGAAACCAAGGTTAAATGGAATAACATAGCCATTGCTCTTCACCTTGTATTAGAAACCAGAGCAGAAAAGTGAGGGGGAAAACAGAAGAGAAATATTTTTAAATCAGCAGAAAAAATAAATAAATAATTCCACAAACCTGACTGGAAATAGAACTGAGAATATTTTGTTTTAGTATTTCTCAAGAAACAGTTCTTCCTTATTTTTTAGGTTTACATTTTTCATCTTGAAACACCTCCTCAGTTCTGCAAAATTCTGTTTACTCACTTTTGTCTCCACCTGCAGAGCCATCAGGATTTTAACCTTTGAAAGACATTCCAGCCCACTAACAGAGTGAATACATGTAGCTGAGACTGGTTTGTAGCCCACTGGCCTGATGCAATCAGAAAGATAGCAAAGTAACACCTAAATTCCAGCCATCTCCTCATTTGAGACCAGGTATATTAAAGGCGTTTGAGGTCCTGTATCCAGATCCTAGGAAACGGTAACAAACATTGTCATCTGCTGTCATTTCTGCTTCCTGTTACCAAACAAACACTAGAACATCTTCCCAGACATGCCCCAAATCTTTCTTCCCCTCCTGCTGGGTCCTAAAAGTCAATACTCTGCAGAATAAGGTTCATTTTTGGCATCATCAACTCAAGAAAAATGGATAAAAAGTAATTCATCACTAAGTCAACCTCTTGCCCCTAAACTCCACCTCTTCATAGGGATATCCTCAATTCAGTGTAGTAAAAAGTTTCTACAGAGCTTTTTCAATATATTTTCTTCATTAACCTCCCTGTTCTAATCAGAAAACACCAACCTACCATGCAGAAATCTTCACTCTGAATTGGAAGCTGCCACTCTGCAGCACTCACAGGAAAGAACCTGTCATAGCTCATTAATGCAGGTCTGACCCTCCACTGCCCTCTCCAAAGAGTAGTCCCTAATAGCTTACATCACGTTCAGCCAAAATTTACTACTCTTACACATCCTAAATAGCACTTCACTTCATCAGCTTAACTGCAAAAAGCATGACATCCCCCTGGGAATAAAGCTACTGCAACCTGCCCCACTGAGTTGAGCTCAGCTTGTACTGGGTACAGCAAGGCCACTGATATTTGCCCACATAGAGATGGTGATGATTTCAGGATTCTTTTCCTCATTTTCACTAACAGATGCCACTAAGATCATTCTCAGAAGTGGGCAACAGTGACAGAGATGAATAGATGGTAAACATCATTAAAATATTCATGACAAGCTCATAGTCTGGCCTGCTAATATCTTTTTCTGCCCCATCACAAGAAATGACACTATATATATATATATATGTAAAAAAAGGCTTGCAGTTATACATAGAGAAATAAACTACTCTCTTTATAGAGAGCAGTGTCAGATTGAAATATGACAGACAACTGGAACACGCTTGGAACCCAGGTGTGACTCAAGTGCTCACCAGGGTCCCTGTTTGGCTGGCGTGTACGTGTGTGTGTGTGCACGTGGGCGTGCATGTGTGTGTGTGGTTCAGGTTTTCTTTTAAACATATCTTCTTTTACTAAACATTAAATTATTTCCCAAGAAATAAAAAGCTATGTACACTGTAATTATCTACAGTAGGCCTTCGGCATCCTCGCTATTCACATGCACAGGGTTCGGGCTGCATTCATAAACTCAGGCTTGCTCCTCCACTGCTTGTGGTGCTGTCCCCTCCAGCCAGTCTGTAGTCCAAGGAACACTGACATGTGTGTTTGCTCTGATTTTTTTTTTTCCCTTTCTCAGCAGCCAACAGTGCCAGAGGGTGACTGAAATTAAAAGCAATTAAAAGAGACAAGATCCTGCAAAAAGCTGAGACATGCATGTCACTGGAAAGCGAGGGATGTTGGCATGTTGCAGAGCCTGGTCCAACAACCCAGTCTGAACCCTCTGGCAGGATGAAGCAGCTGATTCATGACTTATGCTGAAAAGAGCTGAAAAGGGACAATTTACTTACATGTTGCCTGAGGTATGACACCTATCTGTTGGATTTGAATACTTAATTCCCATTATTTAACAGGAAGCTGGCATTCAAATCTCATCGCACACTTGACTCATTCTTTGCTTTTTATTTCTAATCTGATGTGTATTCTTTAAATATGAAGAACCTCTGCTATTTATGAATGCAGCCCTGGTAAACACAAAAAGCCCACCCCATTCCCTCCCAAATGATAATAATGACATATAACTCTTTCTTTTTTCATAATAATAATAATTATAACAATAATAATTACAAATAAAAAGTCAGAAATGCTGTAGACCAAGTGGATTCTCAGTATTAAACACTAGTGCAGTTGGGGATTTCCTTTGTGCTTTCACTGTTGGCAATTGTTGAGATGCTTCCTGTGGAGGAGAAAATAGAGAAGAGAATCAGTGCAGTGGCTTCAACAGTCTGGTCTATGTTGCTTCTCACTCCTCCTTGGGATGTGGTAGTGTAAGTGTAAAGACAGAAAAGATGCTTAAAAATTACACATTCTTTTATGTATTTACAATAAGCAGGGGACATGCAGAATACTCAATTAATACAGCTCAGCTGACCAGCAGTAAACTCATTAAGCTGTTAGGGACATATTTGCTTGTAATCATAGCACACCAACAGTGTAAGCCTGGCTCAGCAGACTCGTTTGAGGGTGCAGGGAATTTGGCACTCCTCCACAGGGAATAGGTGTGAGCCACAGCTATTACCCACTTCTTTATACCTACTGCTGGAGCCACGTTCCTACCCTGGGAAAAGCTGAAAAGCTGTAAGAGAAACTCCATTACCCTGCTGCTGAGAGAGATTTGCTCAGTGAGAGATTATCTCAGTGCCTCAGGGCTCTACTTCTACTCGAGGTCACAGTCACTGCCTCTCCTAATACCCAAAAGACCAAGATCTTCACCCAGACTGTGAAACAAAACTCAGTTGAGGGCTGTTTCTCACCCATCACTCGTGTGTCCAGCTCTTTGTCCATCAGCTCCTCAGGGTCTGTGAACTCACTCAGGGTGATTTTGGGGGCATTTTCACTTTGGCTGACAGAGCCAATCATTTCCTGCTCCTTGTCATGCTGAACTTGGGCATAGATGTTAATCCAAGGGATTTTCCTGCACGGGAAAGGAAAATGAGAGGTTATGTTTTTTAACACAGGGATCCTCAGCATGTCATTTATTAATGAGACAAGCTAAGCTGAGATCAATCCCAGAAATGCAGCACTAGCAGTGATGCAAAGTATGAGCTCTCAGATGGTGAAACTACCACATAGATGTTCATCTCTGAAAGTGCCTTTAGCATCCACTAATTCCAGTAACAGCCTACAGGTACTCCAAATCTCAGGCCATTGTCTTCATATCATGTGCACAAAGACTCCCTCAGCTGCAAACTTCAATGTTCTGCCCTTTTAAATGAGAAATTGTGCACACAGTGGACACTGCACTCAGCTCAGAGAACAGCAATCAACTAAGTACAATCAGCTGCAATTGTCAACTCTCTCAGTATTTATTATATGATCAGTGTTGCATTGGAAACCAAAAGTAAAAATCAATTTGGCACTAGTATCAACTGAGCAAAAAAATTGCTGGGCTTGTTGCTGCTGACAGGCCCACACTGACTCAGAAGAAATTGCCACATCTGAGTTATAAAGAATTGTTCCTGCCTCAGAGTCAGAAAGAATTTGGACCTCATAACACCCATCCAAAGTCTATTTGTTACCATTCCATTGAAAAAGCCAGTTTGTCATGCTATGGATCAAGTAAGTTTGTAGGGACTTATTTTTCTTTGCTGCTCAGGAAGTCAAGGAAATGAAGGGATTATTTCTTCCTCCTTCTCCCAAGCAAAGTTACCTTGACCTGCTAGAATGACATCCTTGAGAGTCAGTTAGGTAGACAGATTATATAGGCCTAGACAGACAGGTAGTAATCCCTGGAGGAATGCAAGTTTAAAATGAGAGACCCAAAAAGGAATGTGTTAAGCATCATGGGGGTTGCCAGGATTATCTGCATTGCCTGTTGGAAGTTGACTGTTTTTCCTAATGCTCTTAGAAAGTCTTTGTGCCACATGCAGTTCACACTGCTCCAATAAGGAAAACTTAGAGAATATTTTAAGTTCCTTAAAGCACACAGGAGCTAGAGAGAAAGAAGTCGTGTTCAAAAGAAGTAATATAAAATGCCATACCTTTATGCTGATCTATCTGCTGTTGGATATGTCAGAGACTGAAAGCAGCCTCAGCTCTCATTAATTCAATAATCTATGCTGATTTTACTCCAGCGAAGTTCTGGCCTAAACCAACTTGTGCTGTTGCTTGATTTGGCATTCTGTTCTTAACCAGCATCAAGCCAGGACATATTTGGGAAGTTTAGAAGCAGCAGACAAATCTCATGATATCCCTTCCTCCTACCTTCTAATGTTTAAATATGCCTTAAATGCCACCAGAAGATACAGGAACGACACAAGAAATGAGTGAGAACTAATGTATTTCCATAGGATCTAAGTGCCCAGAATTTGTCTGGAGATGTACAGAGACATGAGAACACGCCTGGAGATAGTGGAAGACTTGGTTCTGCTTCCAAACAATTCAATGGCAGAGCAGTGATCGTCTCTGAACTTCGAGTGGAAAGGTGAGAAAAACTCTTTAGAACTGTGAGGCAGAGAGCCAAGGTACTTCAGAGAGTTGGGGAAAAAGGAAACTGAGATGGCTGTACATATGTGAATGCACACCCAAATACCTAATCCTGCTGTGATTACACAACCACATCACTCTGAGCACACACAAGCACACAGTCCTGCACTGCTGTCCCAGGACACACACATGGACTGCCCCACAGCCCCACCACTGCTCAGCACTCATACACACACAGTATTGACTGATATATGCTCAATCTTCCAGAAAAAAAAAACAAACAGCTTTTTTACAGATTATTTCCATACTTTCCCCTTCTTCCTTCCTTTTCCACTGGGACCTCCTCAATAAGCATCTCTCTGGCAGCAGTGTTTAACATGCCTGCTGAGTCTATAAATTGATGGACTCACAATAACGAGTCTGTTTGCAAACCAGCAAAGCACCAACTCTATGAATTTGTAGAATTAAAAAATCACATCAGCTCTCCCACAACCTTTCCCTGTCAGCAGAACTTCTGTATTCAGGCTGGGACCACCACTAATCAGAGAAGTACACTTGGATAATGGACCTCTGCATCACTGAGAGCTACAGGAAAGCTTTTGGTTTTGCTCCCCTTTTTCTACTGAAAATCATTGCATGCTCTCATTTCTGCTCCACTGAGCCAGGGGTTTTAGACAGAGCTGAAAATTTGCTTTCTGTTCTGAAAAATCAAGTTGAGAACACTCTGTGTATATGACTTATCCTAAACTTTGTCAATTCAAACTGGGGTTTCCCCTTTGGGACAGAGAGATAAGAGTGGACAGCCATCTAATAAGATTTTGGACTAAGCAAAACTGATGCTTTAACCACCTTCCTCTTCACTTCCAATTTGTAATCAAACAATCAACTTTCAGACAGATTTTAACTGTCTCCAGGCAGGGTCTCCACAGCCCTAGAGCATAATAGAAGGCTGATGGCTGCTATACTCAAAGCTCAGAGTGCTTAAGTAGTACAAGAGTCAGTTTTATGAGTTGCAGCAGCAGAACATGACCCAGAGAGTGTCAAAGCAAAGTGCATTAACAAGCTCCTCACTGTTCTCTGGCAGCTGGAATATAAAGACCCTTTTTCCTGGTAACTGCTGACCACAGGACCAAGGACATGAGGCCAAACCCAGGAAACAATCTCACCAAGACACAAGGGAAAGCATGTCTTACACAGGGCTGTACCTACATCTTGTCACATCTCCCAGGAAGACTTCTTTGCCTTCCTCATCCTACACCTGGGTGTGAGAGTCATCATCAGCTGCCTCCCCAGCTCAGTATTGAATAAATGCCTTAAACAAATCCCATTCCCCTGGCAAGCTGTATTCCACCTCACAGAAGCAGAGAGGGGACTTCAGGCTGCAAAAGGAGGTGATGCTGTGGGCCTTGAAATCTGCATCTGAGCAGAGTCACACAAATGCTTTCCCTGGAAATTGTCCTGGGCCACTGAAGTCAGTGGGAGCTTGATAACAGTTAGCAGTGTGTCCAGGATCAAGCACTACAAGGTGAGCCACTCACTGATTCAGACAATGGGGAATGCATGTTAGCAAGGAGGGAAACTTTAAACCTGGAGATCAGGATAGATGCCAGTCTTATCATATAATTTAATTTTGAATATTGTTTGTATCCCACTAACATCCTTAGAGAATACTAGCCTTATCCTGGGGGCAGAAAAGCTGGAGAAAGCAACATTTCCCTGGAATCTGGAAAGGAAAACTCTAGTTTTTTGTTAAGAGGAACTACCATGTCCAGAAAGTTTATTTATTTAATTTTAAGTCAGACTCAGCTTATGTTTCTAACATAACATTTCGCCACTAGTCAGGACCTAGGCACACAGAGCATTTTATACTGTAAGTACTGTACTGAATGCAAAGTTTCTCCTAAGGAGCTCCATCTGCTTAAAATATATCCTCAAAATCAGACCTTCAGCAAACAGGCCATTCTTATCACATAGTTTGTTTCACAGCTTGCAGCAGCCAAGTGCCATAGGCCAGACCTGGTCCTGCCTGCTGTCTGGAAGCAGAAGATTTACATTAACATCTGTCAAGGTAAATCTCAACACATATTCCCAAAGGCATTTTGATGCTTTACACAAATTTTTCTGGCTTTGAGTCTCCCACCTTTAACATAAACACACCTGTTCCTCTGCAAGATTAACCTATTCACTTTGCAAGATACAAATGAGATGCTGCTGCACTAAGGCAGCTGGGCAGGTGGGTACAGACTGGGAGAAGTCATTCATCATGTGGTTTTTGACTAAGCTTGCTTTGTGTATCTCAGTACTCAGTGAGCACAAAGGTTGCTTCCCATTTCTGGTCTGTGGTTTAAATACAGCTGCTGAAGCAGAAGATTATTTCTGAGCTCCAGGTGAAGTCTTGGAGCACCAGCTTTGTGGTGAAACAGCAGTAGATGGTTTTCTCTCTAAGTACCAGAAAGAGGGAACCACATTCATCTAAGCCTGAGGCCAGCACAGTTCACTCTACATTTGCAATTCAGGCACAGCTCTGCCTAGGCTTCCTGCAAATCACCCAGCGTCGCTTCCTCCCATCCCAAAGTTTTTCAACTCACCTTTTGAATTTGTAGATTAAAAAAACAGCCAAGCCCACAAACACCACTGACAACAACATCAGCATTGCTGAGCTGCTGTGACCTGAGCTGGAATCCACAAGGGGTGCTGCAGGAGGAAAGGCAAAGCATTACTATTGAGGGATATTACAAGGAAACGCATTAACTACCGAGATCTGAGCTCAACTCTGTCACGTTATCACCACTGCATGGTGCATGCTGGTTTTGGCAAGACCAATCAGCAGGAAACAAATTGGTTCTCTTGTCCTTCGAAAGTCAAGGCCCTTTTTCAAGACAGTGCAGTCTGACATCCCTGAGTGAAAAGGCACAGCCAGCCACACTTAGCTGAATGCCCAATCACTCCTGTATTAACACTGGGCTATTACTTTTCAGGTTTTTCCAGGTACTAGAGTGGAAATGAATTTTATGAAGCATGGCTTAATACATCTATTCCCCTTTGGAGAAGATGCCTTAGAGCATCAGTGAGCAGCACAACTCCCATCTTCCAAGGATATTCATCTATCTCACATGTGACAGGGATCTACTCCTGTGACAAGCCTCAAGGTCCATCCTCGTAAAGACTTTTAAATTGAGTCAGTTTCCATAATGTGGAAGAGCCCAAAGCAACAATCCTGGATCCAAGCACACAATACATTATAATGTTTTGTAGATTCTGATCCTTGACATTTTGTCTAGCTAAATACAGTATATTCCTATACCTTGTTTATGCAGCTATTCCAAGAGCTCATCAGAGCACAGCATCTTAATGGCCTGAGCACTGTGCTGAGATCAAGTGTCTGATGAGAAGTCTCTAATGATGCACAAATGATTATAAGTAGCAGCTGAGTGTTTCTCGTTTTGCATAAATATTTGGCTTTGGTGTTTTACTATTCTCTATTATTTTTCTGTCACCCTGAAGACAGGGACAAAGTCATGCAAATAGTTCTGATTTCACTGTCAAATTTACACACCTAACAGTCTGATCCTGGTAGTATTCTGCAGCTAATACTTTTGACTTTTGTGGGAAAGACTGTCATTTCATCCAAGTCAAAACACTATAGGAACAGTCATGAAACAAATGCAGCACCTGCACTGGAAAGGGTGCAAGAATAGCTGCAAAATGTAATTTAAATGCAGTGTCTTGCTAGAACCAAGCCAGATTCTGGAGAATTCCAGCTACCTGGAGACCTCAGACATTGCATCGCATTCCCAGTTTTGCAAATTAATCAAATTCAGGCTACTCCTAATGTGAGTATCTGACTCACATTCCAAAGGAACAGTTAGAGAGTGAAGGTAAAAAGGCATTGCCTGTAGGAAAGGTCATGAGCCTTGATTCAGCCCAGCTCTAGGCTCTCTGAGAAGAAGCTGAAGTGTATTATTGTGGGATACGAATCCCAGTCTTTCAGAGAGGCTATCAGCAAGGGCACTTGCACAAGATCCCACATTTCGGAGAATTACAAGGGCAGTCATAAAAAATAAGGGCAAAAATAAATCCACCACCTTCTTTGTAACCATCACTGTTTCATCAATAGCTGAGACCTTCGCACTAGGCTGGTTTAAAGTAAAGGGACTGACAAAGCTTAAAGTGACTCTTTGTTACTCTGTGCAAAAACAGAGATAGGTAGAGTTGAAATTTAAATAAGTTCTAATTTTTGGAAGTCAATTTTCAGACACAAATTCCCTTTAAGAGGCCCCTATATTTTCCTGAGTACTTTGCCCCTTTAAAGCTTCTTAGCTAGTCATAACAGGAACAAGCCCTTTGCTATAAGGATTTGATCAAACATCCATGAAACTTAATAATAGCCCACTGAATTCCACAGGTATTCAATAAAGCCTTAATGGAACACCATTCACCTGGTTTTCTAAAATACTTGAGAAACACCAATGCACTTGTTAGTTAAGCCACAGGGAACTCTTACAAGGTATTTTTTATGCTTGTACAAACTGGAGCATGAATATGCCCTTGATAGGTTGGTTTAACAGTTCCTACTTCTACCAAAACATCTCAATTGGCACATAGCCCAGTGGCACAGGCCAGACTGTGAGAGCTCTGAGGCAGACTGATTCTCCTGGGGTTGTCTGAAGCCTCAGGAGAGCCACAGCTGTGCCTTTGACTCCACACTTACCTAATGTTAACTGAGTAACATACACAACCACTTCAACACCAGGCTTCAGTTCAAACTGCACCAGGTTCTGGTTGAGAGCATTAAAAAGGATTTCTACCACCTGATCAAATAAGAAGAGATACAACAGTTACAGCACAGAAGATGGCAAAGTCTGGAGAACATTCAGGAATACACAAAGCCCATGAATAGTGGCTGACATCTCTTAGTGGCTTCAGTAGGGCCTGAGAAGTGGAGAGGAATGCAGATGTGCTTTAGATGGAACTGGATATCCAGTGGACATGGTAGAACTTGCAGGTAAGCCTCCCTTACAGAACCTATGAGACTCTCATTGCATGTTACTACATCTCTCCTGGGAAGCAAACCTGGAAGGTTAGCAATTTTTACTTTTTTTTTCTTTTTTGGGGGGCTACAGGAAGAGGGAAAGTAACTAAGGACTTTTCACCTTCCACAATATCCTCTGAGTGTAATCAAATGCATTTGGAAATCACTGACATACTGGCCTTTCATTGGTGGATAATGAAACTAAATTAGGCAGTCCAGACCTACATTTCTTTATTCCCATTGATCCTGTCATGTAGCTTCTATTTAAATAGGCTGCTGGCTATGAGACAATCCAGTTTAGGCCAATAGAAAATTTGCCATATTTCTCCTTCACTTAGAAAAGGGGCCTTGGACTGGACATATTGGAATTGCTGAGCTGGGAGATCAGCAACCCAGCTCTGATGTGTCATTTCATTGCCCCAGAGCACACACCCAGCATATCAGCCCAGAGCTTCAGCTTGTTAATGCTTGATTTCCATAGAGTAGCTCTGATGGACAGGGCACAGCTAATGAGTGCTTCTAATGACCTGCTCTCCAGGCAGAGCTCCTCAAGCAGAAGGCAACAACAGGTGCCAAAGCACAACTGTGTAGACTGTCAACTAGAGCTTTAGGCCTCATAGTCAATTAGTCAGAAATCTAATTGAGATGTCAGCATTATGCTAATATATGAAATATTGACACAACAGCTTGTTCAGAAGAAGCTTTAATACTGGTAGATCCTACTGAACAGGACAGAAATTATTCCAAGACCATCCCTCCAAAAAGCTTTTCAAACCTTCCCAACTCAATGCCTATTTCCTACACACTGACCACCATAAATTTGAGAGACCAGCTTTGGTAACTTCCTACGACAAAGGAACTACTCTGCAGGGACTGACTTTACTCAGTGGGTGACAAAAACTTCCACTGAGTTCACCAGTCCTCTGAATAATTTAATGTTTGATCCAAACTTCCAAGAGTTACTTGGCAATGGGCTCACACATCGTTTGCACACTGTAAAAATGCTGCATACAAGAACATTAGCTAGAGCCAAACAGCCTCTCCAGCAGTACTTCACTCCTTTGCTTTTATAGACCTGATTTAATCACTTGGTAATTCTAACATGAAAGCTTCAGCAGCCTAGTGCTGTTGTTCTTTCCTTGCCTGCATATCACTGCTGCTATTCATCACTGTAATTACCTATTTATCTAAATGGATGGATATTGTAACTTCCAAATATAGTTTGCACAGGCCATTCACTGCTGCAGAAGGAAAAAAAAGAGGTCTTGTTTTGGTGATCTATGAGCTGAAGAGCCTGATTTATTTTTAGTAAACCTCAGTATATTATCTTGCTGCTTTGGCCTCCCTTTATTAGCATTCCTCCAGGGAGCAGAGGGAGTACATAGTCAAGGTTCCTTTGGCCGTAACTACTGTAAAAAGGACACTCCACTGATTCAGGAAGAATCTCTGCTAGTGGTAGGCTGTGACATATCTCAGTGAGGTATTAGAAAATCCCGGTTTTCCTCTGAAAAGAATTTTCTTTAATGCCATAAACTCTACTGCCACAGCCCCAGATGCATCCATTTCCACCACACTTATTGTAAGTACTTCCAATGCTGGGCAGCTTCAGGGACCCGTCTGCAAACAATATGACAGGAATAAATGTTCCATGAACCCTTCTTTCCTTACTTGCTCCAGATCAGCCTCATTGCTTTTCCTCCTCTCTGTTGTGTTTTTGTGGGGCAGTATGAAGAGTTCAGCAGAAGTAGGCAGCCCAGGGAACAGAGCTACCAGGATCTGTTCATCAGGGATACCAGTCACCTAGAAGAAAAATAAAAAGGAGGTTTCCAGCTGCTATTATGTTACATATGTTTCCATTCACTTCCAGAAATGGCACTCCCATTAAATTGTTATTTTCCAGTTCTAATGTAGGTGTTGTGGTCCTAATGAGCTGTTCTGCCTATTTGGTGGGTCAGAAATTGAGCTTCTGCTAACGATGTACTCTACTTCCTTTCTGGAAGTGTATGTAGGCTTGACAGCAGCCCTGGTCCCAAAGATCTCAACCCAAAGTCCAAACCTGGCATGTCTCCAGATCTGAATGCTCCATATAGTCCTCCTTGCTACAAAAGAATAACTGACCCAAAGTCAGATCCGGAGACTGTGTCTCAGAGCAACCACTGGTAAATGTGCAACTAACAGGGACGATATGAAGAAAAGTGCCTGCAGTCACCTCCTGTTATCAAGTTATGGGGATCCACAGCTGCCACCCATGAACAGCAATGTCCCCAGAGGGAGCCTTTACTCCTGGGGCAGATCAGGAGGGCTGTGCTAGGAGCTGCTCAGTGCTGAACCAAGGCTCTCACAGCTGCCTTCAGCAACACCTGCCCATAGGGGCTGCTGCCCTCTCTCCCCAAAGCCAAGCTATGCATCCTCAGCAGGGCAGGAAGCCTCTCCTCCCTCAGAAATGCTCTTCTGCATGAGGCTCAGTAGCTCCATTGGCTCTCTGGTCCAGTCCCACTTCAAACTCCACGGCCTCACTCCAGAGCTGAAATGTACCAACAGGGCAGCCCAGTCCGGGTGGGATATACGAGCAAGCACTTCTACCAGATTGCTACTGCTCTCTGTAACCATTCAGTTATTAAAAACCAAGTAATTATTTTTGTCCTGCAAGTTTGATTCTGAATGCAGTAAAAGGGAAAAATGGTTTAAGAAAATTAAACCTACCATTTTTTCAGGATGGAAAAACAATCAAGGAAAATCTTATAAACTGTGAATTTTGAGTGGGCTGCAGATGAGAAAAGCTGAGCAGGAATGTACTTTCCCAGTAAAAATAATCAACCTCCATTTCTAAGAACAGCTGTAGCTAAAGCAAAAAAACCCTAACAGGATACATTTTTGGCAGAATGCAAAACCAACAAAAGCTTGTCTAAATCTAGCTCCTAATTTCACACAAAACTAAAGCCCCTGACTACTTGATATCATAAGTTATTCTGTCCCCTTTCCTGCAAGAATATGAGTACTAGTTTACATATTCTAATTAATCCCAAAGGAAGATTCAGTATCTTCCACCTACAGAAGTCTCTCTTTATCCTATATTTTAAAGGTACGTTTCTTTTCCCTCTGAACCCTCATTTTTTTCCCCAGTTGGAAAGAGAGTAGAGCTTTAAAATGTTCACCAGTTGCTACACTTAGCTGCATGTGGAACTCCTATCAGGAAGAGATAAAAATATCTGCCTCATGTATCCAGAATACTACAATGTCTCTCTTCTGGGATGAAGTGGATCAGCTGTTTAACAACACATAGTAACACTAACCAAATATTTGGAATAGAAAACAGTACATACTGTCATATCAACTTGGAAAAATAAGAATGATGATGATACTATTACAATCTAAAATTTGCAAAATCCTCAGGGATATTAAAAGCTGAAAAGCACACAGAAATATTAACAAAAGTAATTGTAATATTTCCACAAAATCAGCAATATAGATTGGCTCTGCAAAAAGATCCAGCATATTAAGAAGCTTTTTATTGATTTTTAATGACAGTGTCATCACTGCTGTGCTTACCCATTCTTTTAAGCTAGCATGTGAAAAAGTGCATGTTTTAACAGCCTAGTCAATGTTAGTACAGACAAGGAAACAGATGCTCACCTGTGCTAGTGCTCTCTTGATGACTTTGCCAACATCTTGTCTCCATTCAGGGATGTCAGGGTTATGGTAGTCCAAGTTGGGAGAAAATGACAGGAGCTGAGATTGGAAATATTCTGGAATAGAAAAAGTATTTATGAGAAGGTTAAATGGGAAGTGTTTAGGGTGCAGACAAGGGTGCAGAAGACAGCAGGAGGACCATAGTTATCTTAAAGCAAGAGGGTGGGAAAAGGCTGAAGGAAGAAAAGGGCTGGCTAACACTAAGCAAGACAGAGAGCTTGCAAGGAAAGAATGCTTATAATGGTACTTATAAAGGACATTTTGGCCTAATGCAAACTTCTGGCTTTCCCCAGAGAAACAGAAGCGAGAATGAGAGGTGAGAGGATGCCTTCATGATGCCCCTGGGCCTTGTAATTTTGCCACTCAGCTTCTTCAGATTCTGCTCACACAAAAGTTGACCAGCAAATAAGGCAGCACCTGGCTGAATTTTGGAATGCCTGTACAATTGAAGAGCGAACAATTGCTGTAAGTAATGTTTTCTATTTACTCTCCTGGAGGGAAACCAGGAGTGGTTAATTCCCCAGCAAAGAAGAAGCCAGTGCTGCTAATGACTGGCTCATCAGGAAATGGCTACTGACAAAACACTTTCAAGTTCTGTCCTGACTGAATGATTGCTGGGAGGAAGAAAAGCTTCCTAGACTTAAAATACAGAACCATTTTATTTTTTCTCCAATTTCAACTCTCCTCACTGGTCTCACCAAAGACCAAATCTGGAATCCTTATGGCAGCTGTGCAGAACAGATTTGGGCCAGTGGGTGGCACAGATCTGGAATGGGAACCACAATCTTATAAAAGTTCTCAGCGTAGAAGATTCTCCTTTCTGTTTCTGGAGATGTTCTATGCCTCACCTTGAAGCAACTGATCTCCAGACACTTCAAGTAAGTACCATTAATCATTTGTAAGAAGGCACTAGTTTTAGATCAAGATAAACCTGCCAGAGTATAAATGAGGAAGTCCACAGAAAAGCAGGGATGTACCAGTACACCATTTATGTGGCATCTTTTGCAAGAACTGTTCTTTTTTTTTCAGATGGTGCAATATATTTTTAAATAAATTAAGTATCAAAGAACACAGGGAAAGTCTCCCAGGTTCTGAAGTTTTAACCCAGATATATAAAGTCTTTGACTTTTGACCTCTTAGTACCATGTCCAATTTATTTTTTGAGCAAATTCTTTTCTGTTAACCTCAAATTAAGAATATGCCTGAATAAATTTTCTCACTGGTAATACCAGAAATCCAAGTGATTATGATCTAGACCCATAAGCACTTGACTCAGGACACAGATTAGGATACAAGTTGATCAGAGGACATATTTACTAAAGGCATCACTCAGTTATGTACTCAGACTTGAAGTCATCACCAGACTGAGAGGCTGGAAGGATTCCTTCCTTAGACTAGGTCAGTCTGCAGCACAGCACTGGGTAGGACTATTTGGACTGGATCCAAATGGGTCAATTTCTCTTTGTGATAGAACCCAAAACTTTGGATTTTCTAAACAGAATGGCAAAATTTCTTCCCAGGCATTTAAAAACAGTGAGGAGCTCTCTGTGGGACCAAAAGATCAAGATCACCTGTGAGTATCACTCTTAAATATATTTAATTCAGGTTTATTTATTTATTTATTCACTGCATTTTTCAGTGCTCAAAATTATGAAGTAGAAGGTTCCTAATATTTGATAATAGCAAGTCAAGGTATTACTAAATCACATTAACAAATTATTAAAGCCTATTGCATTTCATGGCCAGACAATTAATAAATATCTATTTAGCTGCTGTTACATCTGAGTGTACAGCAGGACATTTATTTGTATTTAACTATTGAAATAAGACACACACGGTGCAAGTACACAGTGCTGAGCTTCAAAGTAGCCCAAGTTATTTCAAGCCCAGGTTTCCCAATAAGACTTGAAGTTCAAAGAAAAGCTTGTCCTCAAATGCTGGATGTGAAAAATTGCATAAGGAAAATAAAGACTGGTGCAGGGAAGAAATTATTCTCGCAGTCCTGTCAAAGCTGCTGAGAGAGCCCTTTCACCCAGGATTTAGCAAGCCCCAAACAGGGTAAGCTCTGCTGTCTGCCATTGGGTGCTTTTTGAAGCCTGTGACATGCAGATATGGCACAAACATACCAAACATTCCCCACAGGGAAGTGCAGTGGGCACACTCAGACCTCCAGCTGTGACATGAAAGATGGGCAGTGATACCAACAACAGAGTCACTCCTGTCTTCTTTTCCAGACCCCTCCTGACCCCTGTCATTTATACAGTCACTGACAGAGACACCATTTGCATTCAGATCACCTTAATGATGCACTGTTTCTTTCCACAATGATGACTATTTCTTTCCACAGCTGGGAAAATGAAGGAAGGCAGTCTGGTTCAAATATTTTTTTATTTCTAGAAGTTCTCTGCCTGGGTCTACAGACACAGACAGATCAACAGACACAGCAGACACCAGCCACCTTATTAATGCTGAGGTTATAAATTTGGTTAGCTGCCCCATTCTATTCACTTCTGTATTTTGTCATCATGACAGATCTAAGCTACTTTATCATCAGAGGTTTGTCTTCAGAGGTTCCTACAGGCATTATATCAAGTTCCTAGAGTTCATTCTGGATCAGCAATGATTGTCTGCCCTTCAACCCCCTGAGATGTGACTGTAAAAGGCTGAGGGTACCATGCACTGCGATCTCCTTGGTGTCCTGGATGAGGGTGTTGCCCCCAGCAACTTGCACGGTGACAGTGTTCATCCCCTCCACAGTGAACATGTATGAGATGCTGCTCTCCAAGGTGATGAGGGGCTGTAGGAGGCAAACACAAATGACAATATCAAAATCAGGGTGAGATTAACTCAGGATCACAACATGTACCTGATTTATCCACCAGCCAGCAACTGCCTTGCTCCTTAACACAGGTGTGGTGCTGCATGTTTGTGTGTCCTGCTAAGGCCCAAACACCATCCCATGAGCAGTGTCCCACAGGCAGAGGCTTCTCTCATTTCAGTAGATGTGTCCTGAAATATTCCTCCACTGAACTGCAAGCCATTACTGTATGGACTCCTCAGCAGACCACAGTCAGCAGCTGCAGAATTAGTGCGGTAGAATGCAGCGTTGTACACACACAACCAGCTCAGCTGCTATATTTGCTCTACAAAACCCAACCTCAAATTGAAAATAAACCAAAGATGCAGATGCTTCTTCAAACAATCCATATTGTTCGGATTCAGGGCCAGCCTTTGCTTTTATGAGCACAAATCCATTTATCTCTCACAGAGCAACACTGCTCAGGTCAGAGTGAGGACATCCAGCATCGCCCCGTCCATGCTGTGAGTCTGTAAGCAAGCTGCAGGCACAAGCTGGCAAACTGTGCTAACCAGGCTGAAAGCATGGCATAATTCCTGCTGACAGTGCTGACTGAATGTGGCTGTGGAAGGGATCCACACTGGAGCAGCACATGGGAAGGGCCCACATTAAAGAAATTAATGGAAAGCTGTCTCCCATGGGAGGGACTCCCTCCCACAAGCAGGGTAAGAGTGGGAGGCGTCTTCCCCGAGGAGGAAGCATTGGAAGAGACAAGATGTGATTAACTGATGACAGCCCCCGTTCCCTGTCTCCCTGCACTGCTGGTGAAGGAGGAGGCAGAGAATTCAGGAGTGAAATTGAGCCTGCAAAGAAAGGAGAGATGTGGGAAGATGTTTTAAGATTTGGTTTTATTTCTCATCATCCTACTCTGATTTTATTGATAATAAATTACACTAATATCACAAAGTCAAGGCTGATTTGTTTTTTAACAGTAATTAATGCTATCTCTCTGTCATTATTGTGACCTGATTTTGTTCTATTTTATGTATCCTGCCCATGTGAGGAGGGGAGTGACAGAGTGACTTTAGTGGGCATCAGATGTCCAAACAGGGTCAACCTACCACAAGTGAAAATCAAAGTTCCAGCCCTCACAGTGCCACTGATCTGACAGCTGGTCTAAAGAAAAAACTCTTCATTTAGAGAAACTACAAAAAAGGAAATAGCGATACTAATCTCCATTGCAAAAGCACACAGATGTCTAAGAGAACAGATAAAGCCACTGTACCATTGCTGTTATCCCTTCATTACACTGCCAGTTTGATTTCAGAGGAAAACTTCTAAACTTTCACCTTCCAGCTCTCACACTTTGTTTCATCAGGCTTCCAGCCTGACTGCACTGCACAACAGTGGTCACATGTGCTATTTTCATAGCCAAACCAAAATGCCCACCTGCACAGGCTAGACTAACAAACGCATTTCTCTCTCTCTAGAATACCACCTTCCCTTGACCCCTCCACCCATGAGCTGAAAAAGCAGTAAAAACTAAAGAAGTCTTATCACATGGCACACACAGTCCAAGGGCACCAGCTTGTGCCAGCCCTGCAGGCCTAGCTAACATTTACTGAGATATACACAGACCCTGGAGAAGCTGAATGGGCCTGTATCAAACTGCAGTGAAATCAGCAATCCTCCTGGAGGTTACAGGTTGTGGTTCTGTGCAAAGGCAGATAAGAGAATGCAGTCTGGCCTTTAAAATTTTTACAATTACAATCTTTTTTTCCTTTTATTATGTGTGTATGCTGGACATTCCATTATCATGGATGATTTCACCTCCATCATGGAGTTTTAACATTCAGCCAACTCCTTAATTTTAATTCAAGAACCAAGACCTGGAAACTAACTCTAAATTAAATCAAGTAGTTTAAGGTTCATTTGCTCAAACCTATTAGACAGCTGGATACATTTATTAAACTGGACCTGTGTTAATCCAGGCAAATTGGCCTTTGGGCATACTGAAAAAATCAGTACAGTAGAAATTCAGTACAGGAGTTTCAGCAGGGTGGGGAGAGCAGTAGGAGAGTCTCAGTCAGGTCATTTGTGTCTAAGTCAAATCTCCCTGTGCAGCACCACAGAGAGTGACACTCCACAGTGACACAAGACACATCTGGTTCTGCCTGGGATGGCTATGGGCTGAACAGGAAACAAAGCTGCAATCCCTCAGCATGGAACTAAAATATATCATCTAATAATACCAGTCAAAATATTACACACCTCATCCTTTAATTCAGTGTTCCCATCTCCCACCTCTACTCAGAACACCACGGTTTACTCATGAGAGGGCACAGAGAAGGATCTGGCCTATCCATTAAACATCCCAGGAGGAATTTTGATGTGATACAGACTGCTGTTGTGAAAAAAGGTGGCTGATACAGTTATGTCTATATCCCTTGCCATACTTCTGTCAGAGTTAAAGCACATTCCGTGAGGCAGCTGGAGATAACGCTTTGCAAAGACTGAAGAGTGCTCTGGGTCTGAGATTCAGACACAGATAAGTGGCACCACGTTTACTCTTCCATATTTCAGCAACACATGCCAAGGTGTCAAAGGATCAGCTGCTCCATGTGCTGATGTCCAAAGTACCCATCCCAAACATATCCACATCTGCTTGTACTCTGCTGCCTATGGGTCTGAAATTTCATCTAGAAGATGAGGCAGACCATATTTCCAACCCAGAAGCAAGCACTGTGAGAACTGCTTGGAAATCTTCAGCAAACACCACTGCTTTGCACTATCTTTTCAAGATTGCCTTTTATTTCAAAGAAATATTTTTTAAGGCCCTATTCACAATCAACTTCTATAGTAAGGACAAAAACAATGGCAGGAAGACTCTACACTGGAGGGCTTAAGTGGATGATCAAGTTGCCAGTACCAAAATTGTCTCAGATGTAGTTTAATGGTTCTCCATGTGTGAGCACTGAGCCAAAAATACCTGAACTATAACATGATTTTGCATGACTGTATTCCAATGCAGTATAAACAATGCAGTATAAACAATGTGGAATTACCTGGTATTTGCAATGGACTAGATGTGCATATGTGGGTGGTTGCCATAGTTCAGCTAGGGCATAGCAACTTGCTAAGTTATAGTAAATTGTTTTTGATCCTGAGCTCTTCTGCTGCCTCAGCTATGCTTCCAGAAAAATCAGCAAGTTCTTACAGTGAGCTTCCTAACTGGATAAAACCCCAGCAGAAGCAGCACTTACTGTTTTTATTTTGCCTCTCCTGAGACTGTTGGTAGCTAGGGTGAGAGGTTAAAACTAAACAGCTTTGTCAAAGAGAAAACAAAATACTTGTGTGCCTATTTTTTATCTCAAGTTCCATATTTCATGTAAAACCCCTGTTTCTTTCTGCTGCAATCTCACCTCGATGCACACCTTCAATTGCAAATGTAGACAACGACGTGACTTAAACTGCTTTTGTAAATAACAGCAGAAACTATATTGCAGAATTAACAGCTGTACAATTCACAACTGTAAGAATGGAGAATAGTGCCTGTCTCACTCCTAAAGCCTACAATAAAAGCTGTAGCTAATAGGCAATCCTGCTCTCTCCATTTGAAAGCATGATGTTAACTTGTATTTTCACTTGAACTATTGCTAAAAAAGCTCTTTATAATACATACAGTCACATTATTCATCATTCAAAAATTCACTACAAAGGAGTCTCATCTCCCTCTCTAACACAGACAGATTCTTCAGCTTGAAATTCTAGATACAACTGTTTATTTGAACACCAAGAGTTTTAAAGTACTATGTTGGAATCCAGCATTATGTACTGCACACTGGCACATAATGGAAACCCCCTTGGTTATTTGAACGCCAGCAGTTTTTAAACACTGTGTTGAAAACCAGCATTATTCCACACATAGTTCAGTTAAGTTGAAAGTGAACACTGGAAATAACAGTGGTCTTCAAATCTCAGGGCTGATAACAACCACATGGAGAAAGTAATGACTCCTAAGAACAACACAAGATAGAAGGAAATAAATCCACAAAGGTTGAAGTTCAGATAATGACAACCCTTTTCAGACAAGTGAAAAACAAACACCAAACAGACAAAGGCAAGAAGTTTTTATTAGGGCTGAGAGAGTTCCCTGACTGTTGTGATAAGCTTAGGAAGGAAAAATGAACCAAAGGGTATCTGTACCTTGGTGCTGTTGCCAAACCACCAGAAGTAGGTAAGTGTGCCTGCCTGGCTGGGCCAAACCACTGCAGTAATGTTGACATCCTTATTTCTGATGGCAACAAAGGGGACACTCAGATGGACGTGCTCCACTGGACCTGTGGGGAGAGAGTTCATTATTAAAGGCTTTGAGTTAAATCCTCCCTGCACAGCTGTGAACAGCAAGGATCTTTCCTTTAAATAAATCAAAAGTCCTATGTCAGTAGTGAGAGTCTAGTTTAGAAATAAAAGACAATTTTAGCAGTCAATGAACCACAGAAAAAGATAACCAGATTTAAGAATACTTTTTTTTTCCCTCCTTATTATGCACATTTTCCATAGTGCTAATTTCCAGACAGGGCCAGCACTGTGTTTAGAAGAATTTTCAAAATGCATTTTGAAGAAAAACAATGAGCTGGCTTTGTATTATATAGAGAAATTGCTATTGAAAGCCATAAGGATAGGACACAAGAAAGGGATAGGACAAAAGTGAGAAGGAAGGGTTTTTTCTTGAAAATTCAGCCACTGAGCTACTAAGATTTGTGGGGAAAATCATTTTAGCCAAGATGGCTTAATTCTTGTTATGTAAGAGGCATTTCTGACTTGATTAAATATCCCCAACATTTTTTTTAAAAAGTCTCAAAAATAATGACTCATGATTTTGTAAATCCTTGGTATCTTTTTGACTTACGGCTGACCTTGGGAAGACTTTGGGGAGTCAGTTGCCCCTAGTAAACCATCAGGAAGCACTTGAAAGATGTGTGCATTGGCATAATAAAGGGTGTGACTGTCAGAAGCACTTGATTCTGAAAGACTTAAAAAATAACAAAGTACCAATGCAAAATTGTATCTAATTAATGAAAATGCCCAGAATAAATCCAGGGCATGAAGCTCTGAATTCAGAAGACAGATCTGCTCTAGAAAAAACAACATGTGTAAAAAACACTGAGGCTTTGTTTGGTAGTTTGTTTAAAGCTTCTACTATCTCCATTGTTTTTCTTCTTGTTTAATCTTTTGGTTTTGCTGGTACTGAATTTCAGCTGATAACTGCTGCCCATCAGACAGTGTTACTTTCTGGGTAGTACCTTTAACACACAGCAAACTGACAGACTATCCCTGTGAGATGGAAAGGACAAAATAAGAAAAGTCAGAATCTTTTTTTTCTGTAAGACATTCATTCTGGGAAGCAGGAAATTTGGTGATTTAACTGAGACAATCCTCTTGTGTTACCTCTCAGCATGAAATGGGGACATTAATCAGTTCTCCATCTACTTGGATTACAAAGATTGTGGAGAGCAAGAGCTGTTCTTTTACCGCTGGAACATAGAGCTCCAAGCACAAAAGGACTCTATTCTTTCTTTTGGCACCTTAAAACTTATCTTTTCTCCCCCCTTTTCCCAAGAGTTCTCTAACAGCAAGTCACTCCTGAGCTCTGACCATAGGAAATGCTCTGGGTTTGCAAGAACAGCAGGTTCCCGTAAATATTTTGTGACAGTGCATGTAAGAGGAAAAACACTCATATCTATACTTCCTTTAAATATCAAGATAAGCAGCTTGTCAGCAGATTCCAGGAAGCTGAAAAATTAACTGGCTGCTAATAAAGCTGCAGGATAGAAAACTGATGTTGCTTGAGGCCAAGGAACCTTTTTATCTCTTTTTTTTTAGCACAGGATCCCAGTACCAGAGCGATTGTATGGTAAGAATGACTCTCAGGCAGAGCTGTCTGTACATTTAAACTTCAAGGTCAAACCTCCTATATTGACCAGTACTTCCAAATATATTAAAAGTTTAGTACCGAGGTGTCATCTTATTTCAGCACTAGCATGAATATAAGTGCTTGCAAAATATTTCCCTAGAGATAATGGTAATAAATTTGCCATCTAAGAATGCTATAAAAGTCAAAGGAGAGATCTGAAAGGTTGATGAAGAAAAGGGTGGAGCAGCAAAACCAGGCCAAGGAACTGTCCTTTGTTGCATTCTGCTTTAAAATCCTCACCATGAAGAAGTAGTTCCTTTGAGAAAAATCAGATAATCCATACAAATCTGGTTGTTATTACCAGGTAACCATCACTTTTGTCAGCTAATGGCCCAAGGTGAAGGAAAAAACAGTTAATGCTCTAATAACAGGTTGGTAAGTGCAGCCATGATTGACTTTGAGGGAATTATGAGCATAATAAAAGCTTCAAGGAACATTTATTCCTTCACACAGGGAGCTGGAAATTAAAATGGAGAAAAAAGTTCTTGAGTTTTGGAAATTTCTAATGTGTTTCCTTTCAGCAGAAAAGCTCAAGCAAAAGGCAGGATGTAAGACATCCTGACAGGTGAAAAGGGAAGGCAGACATGGCTATGATCACCATTAGGGGCAAAATTGATGGGGTGCATCTGAACACAAGAGATCTAATAGTCTGACAGAAGATCAAAGAATTGGGCTCTTTTTGGTCTCATCCTGCATTCCACTCTCTCTGCTCTCTCCTGTGGCTTTGAGAAGTTAACTGAGAGCTCTATATTTGAGTTTGCTCATGTGTCAGCTGGAGAGAAATTGCACTGATCTACCAAACAGGACAGAAACATCAGGGATTCATGTCAAACACATGGAACGTAAAAGCAGCACATTAGCCCTCAGTACATTCATATTCATATCTCAGAAAGCATGCTCAGCATAATGCTTCTATTTCATTAAATTAGCACTGTAAAATCTGCAGTTCTGAAAAAGTGACTCAAAATCTAGTAGATTAATCAAATCCTCTTAGAATGAGATGTATTGAAAATATACATTTGGACTTTGCTTCACATACTGCTTGGTCCTTGCTGCTGACCTTTTCAGAAAGCCCAATAGACATTTTCAAACTTTTCTCCGTAACTCTGAGGACTGCAAATATACTTGTGTTAAAAAAAAAATCCTTCCCTTTCCTTTCATTAAATAAAGTCTAGTTTACAAATGAGAAGAGTGTCTAGAAGCCCAAGCCTTTGGAAGAGCATGAGCTGCACATGTACGTGGGTTTACATCTCTTCTTAAGCCCCACTGAAGCTGCAGGGACTTTCAGAGAGGTCAGATTTTTGCCCAAGGAATCTGGCAAGTACTCACAGACCACATGCAGGAACAGGACAGCAGTGTCTGAGCCCAGGCTGTTCTCTGCATACGCCGTCACCTGGAAGATTCCAGCACTCTTATACACGTGCCGGATGCCATCCTCCACAGGGCTGAAATTGGCATAGGACACTGCAATGCCATCTCCAAAATCAAGCTGGATGTTTGTCCTTTGGAGATCACCCTGCAACAGAGAAGGCTGGAGTAGGAAACTGGACTGATAAAAAAGGATTTATATTTTTATCACCCTCCATCCCACTAAGTTCCATTTCATTAGCATGGGCACAAAGTAGTAACTTTTCAAAACAAGCTGAGGTTTGTTCTGCCATTCCCCAAAGTAGCCAGACACAGAGAGCAAAAGACCAACACCTCATCCTAAAATAACTGAAACAGGTGACATGAATCATCTCTTGCAAATATCCTCCCCTGATTATACAGAGTTTAGAAGACCGGTTTCAGCTAGACATGAAGCTTCAGGACAGCTGAATTTATACAGGTTGAGTCCCACGTTGAGGACTGACAGGTTTTTTTTGTCTAATGCCAGTCAACACAGAGACAGGGCCTAGATACGCAGGAGAATGAAGCAGATGATGAGAAAATCTCTTCCAGGATTACTGTCAATGACAGTTTTTAAATGAAGGAGAGAAAAACAGACAAGAAATTCCAGCACCACAGGTATTGTCTGGAGACAGAAGTTGCATTATTTTAGTTTAAATCATGCTTTAAACCACAGCAGTTGAACTGTAGAAGTGTCTGCTATTTTGGTTTCTTGAAGCCTTATTTTATAGTTGCCCCCAGCTGACTAATGTAACACAAAACAAGGCTAATTTAAACAAAGGTAAAGCCCACTGCAGTGATTTCACTAAACCGAAATAAAACTACAACTCAGATTAAATCTCTGTAGCTTTAGCTTTCTGCATATATATGTGTTGTGCCAAGCAATTTCCTTTCATGAAAGATCTGCACTGTATTCACTGGGGGTGAGGAACATACCACTACATTCTGGAGATGTTTCTAGCCCCAAACTGAAGTCAATCCCTAGATACACTGAGGATGTGATCGGAAAGTTTTTTAAAAAAAATTAAATCTCTGCTCATAAATTTACACTTTTTTATGGAAAATTCAGAAATATTTTACAGTCATAAACTCCATTATAGCTGTAAATGCACAGGGAAAACACACAAGAAGCCAGACCACAATGAAGCAAGTCCCATGTGTAGAAAATCAGGACCTTAGCAGCCCCCACAGAATTTATCCTCCTCATAGACTATACCTGCATGAAGAAACCAGAGTGAAGGAAGGGTATTTTTCAGATGTGAATTTACTTTGAGTATATACTTGGGGTCTTCAGACACTCATATAATCAGGATTATTGCATGTAGTTTTTGAAATATGGATATTTGATTATATATGTTAGATCTCTCTCCTTCCTTGCTCCATCATTCCCATTCCATGGGAGCCAGGGGAGTTTTGGCTCTTGACTTGATCAGGGCACCATTTTCACCTCCGCCCTACCTGGACATTAAAAATTCAGTATAAAGCAAAGAGCAATCAGAAAGGATAAAGTGGTAGTGACACTAAAATGCACCTATAATATTGAGTAGTCAATAACATCCTTTAGACAGAGAGTTTTTAAAGTCACTCTAAAAAATTCTCTAGCAGGAGCAAAATTACACACTTGAGATATTCAGTTATTTGATATAAAGGCTCCCACAGCTTGTTAAACCTTTCAAAACCACTTCTCAAGGGAATGCACTAAGACCCCAAGTCCAACTCATATGGAAGATACTGAACAGAGGATAAAAATTTGGTCTCAGCTGGATTCATCACCGATGACCTCGGGCTGAAATCTCTTGCACCAATCATGGCAGCTCATCTCCCTTGCCTGACAATTTTCTTTTCTATTTCTTTCTTGCTTCTCCAGTATGATTCTATCTGAAATGAGATGGTTTCACGTAGAGAAGCAGGAAAAGATTTTTCATGACTAAACAGTAGCAGATGATCTTTTCACCCAGTTATGTGCCAGGGCTTCAGTGCAAAGGCTGTCTATCACACTAATCATGTTTTCTTTCTCCCTTCCATACATCGGTATCCAGTATGTAAAATACTAAACCAAGCATGCTAGCCCCACACAAAGTTGTCAGATATTCTGGAGTTTATAGATATAAATTAAAATAGAAGGGAAATGGAAGCATTATAAAAGGAAAAAGAAATCATTGCTATCCATTTATATTCAAGAGGCACGTTTTGTTGCTTTAAGCCCCATAAATAACTGAAAGGGAACAAGGTATCTCACAAAGGTTGGCTCTGAGTATGGAAATCAGTGAACAGACGTGATCAAGAACACAACTCCACAACAGCTATTTGGCAGTCCATTATTTCTTTGTGATCAAAACCAAACTTAGGTTAAAAAAAAAAAATATTCTCTAAGCAGGTTCTTATCTCCTCAGGTTCCCTTGCATGTATACAGTCCAAATCACAGTCCAGCCCCATATTCCTGAAAACACAGAAAAAATCTACAGTCATTCTGCACTTCTCTGTCCACAGTCATCACCCCACACGTATTCTGAATACCAGTGTGAAGAATCTTACTAAAGCTAATTCTGTAAATCCTGAGAAATTCAGGTTTTGATTAATTATGATGAAGTCTCTGTTTACCACTGACAGCCTAAAGGTCAGTCACCTCCATATACTGAGGGTGTGTACTAGAAGGCAGGAAAGAAGTGTTGGCTCATCAGGGTGAGTCTGACACAACTGAATGGAGACCACACAGATGTATCCATAGGAGGGCTGGTCAGGCTGCTGCTTGGCTCAGAAATGAACTGTAAGCTTAGGTACAAAAACAGTAAACAGACTGACCAGAGAAGGTGGAGGAAGCCACGAATGAATCTGAATGGCAGCAAGGTAAGAAATAATCAAGACTTCCACAGAAATTATTTCTTCCAACGCATAAGGTAATCTTTGGCCACAATTCTTCTCAGGTTCACACTAAAAGACTTGAATGACTTTGTTCAAAATCTCTCTGTTCTTTTTCTTTTATTTTCTTTCCTTCTTGAAAGACTATTATTTTAAGAAGCAAATTCAACACACAACTTTCTGTGGAATAAGCTGTTCACCTACAGAGACATGTTCCAAAGATCCTCTTCCCATAGAAGAAAAAAAAAGCTTGTTTCAATGAAATGTTTTTCTAACTACCATTATTTTTCAACAACAGACATGAGAGTGAACACCCTTACATATTTATTCAGCTGCCTCTTCAATGTCTAAATCCTTGCAAAGATTCCACTCTTCAGCTACCTTGACTGCTGCCTTATTCCCCATCTGTTTATCATTCTTCATACGCAGCAGTTCCGCTTGAGTTCCTTAATAAATTACTAGTTGATTCCTAATTTTTAGATTATATCTGTTCTTTTCTGAACTCCCACTCATAGTGTCTACACAAATTGTCTTACCATGTCAAGTCTGCAGAATAGAAAAGAAACAGCAAGTAGACAAGAAATCCCCCTCGTATAAAAGCAGAGCATGCATGAACCTCTGAGGAAGTAGCAAAGAGGCCCTGCCAGATTAGTGTGGTCCCAGTGAAATATTTAGCTACTATATAGGAATTTAATTTAGTGTGAGAATATCTGTCTGTGGGTGGTCTGCCTCAGCTGTCTCCAGGTACTGCTCCAAAACACACAGGACAGAAAATGTGATGAAGAACAGTTGTGCTTCTCCAGCACCACCTCAGTCCCTGGCCAGAAGAGCCTCAGCATTTCGGTGCTTTTGGCAGTAGCATGGCCTGGTGTCACTTATGCTACTGTTGTTTACAGAGGGAGCTGTACCAATAGATAAATACAATAGATAAAGTCTGGGGGCTAGAGGTGCTTTGAGGAGACTCTATTCCTACTGCAAAATAACAATGCCCCTCATTGTTCCCCATGAATGTGAACATGCTCCTCACCATTCTTAACCTTTCCCAGAAAAGCTGGAGTTAAAGATTCACATCTCAGACACAGAATTGTTGATCACAGAAACACCACTTCTGCCTCATAAATTCTATAAACTGCACTTTGCTGGAGGCAGCAAGAAGTGAGTGGGGAAATAAATTTTTTGACCAGATCTATCTTTCTTCAGCATTAACATCATCACTGATAGGTAAGATAAGCACACCTGTGGTGTGACCCAATATGACCTGCTTGTATGCATCACTATAGCCTTCAATTCTCTGAAATTCCTTAAGTCACATAAATCTCAGGACCATTCACCATTTCATGATCCCCCTTGATAGCTATTTTCCTCTCAGCAACCTGAAAAGCGAAGGAAAAGAATGCCAGCCCTGCCACACAGAGAAAGGTTTACTGAAACCACTAACACACCTCTTCCATAAGGATGATGAAGGTGGCATTGTGGCCCTGCTCCATCACCAGCTTCCCATTGGAGGTGAGGATGTGCAGTCCCCGAGGTGCTTTTCCAGGGCATTTCTCCATCTTGGCCATGTACTTCTCTCGCAAGCCATCTGTGCAGTTGTTAGACACAATCCTTCGGTACCTGGGGAACGGTAACAAAAGGACATTGGGCTCAGACTGTGGGTGGAAAAGCTCCTTTGCTTTGTTTTTTTTTTTCTCTCCACATTAATTCATGTGTTTTTTCAAAAGCTAACTGCCTGCACAATCCCCTCACTGAAAGGAAGACTCAAAGAAACACAACACTTTATTAAGTAGGAGAAAGTCAACCCAATCACAATTCAACCTTCTCCAGAGATTCTCAGCAGCATCACTGAGAAGAGACACATTGTAGAGGTGAATTACTCTTCCCTACTACAAAGTGAAGAATTCCTCCAAACCAGCTCCTGCAGGATTGCATCCTGCATCTCAGCTTTTTAATTTTACCATTTATTATGTTTTGTCTACCTCTATTGGGCTAGAGGGCACTTGAAAAAGTACACCAAGGGCTTTGCCCAGTTCAGTTTCAAAATTATTTGAGGTTTGGGTTTGTCTCTTGGATCTTCTTCGATGAGGTTGGTTAACAGCAAGAAACCTGGCTATTCCCAATGTTGTAAAGCGGGGGTTAGCCCTTGCTATTAATTTCATACCAACCCCAACTATTTTCTTGTTGCTTTCTGTCAAGAAGGCTACAAGCAGCCATACTGACCAGGGCTCCTGTAATTATATCCCATATTTAAAGCAACTTTTTGGCTGAAAGGGAGTCTCTGAGGTCAAATGCCTCTGGACTCCCAGCAGCCTCACTGCATCCAGCCACCTGCACCAACCAGCCAGGAACAGGTACATGGCTCCTGCCAGAACCATCAAGCAGGCAGACACATGACTCAGAATCAGCCCTACAAAATTTGGAGGGCCTGCCCTGTTCCTGGAAGGAGCATTGCAATTTTGCCCCAGAGAGTTAAGCTCAAGTCTCACAGCATTTCCTGCACGACAGTAGAGCATTTGTAAAGTGATGCTGCCACAATAAACCAACACTTCCCATCTGTTCTGGGTTAGACCAGGGGAAATCAGCACATGAAGCTTGTCTGAAGTGCAAGGCATTGTATGTACAAAGTGAAAATGGCAGAGGAAGAAAACATAAAAGAGGCTAAAAATTGCTCATTTGAGCCTTCCTAGAAGCTGATATAAATAGGAGCTGTAAGATAGTAAGAGGTTCAATAAAATAAAATGTGAAGTAGCTCAAACCTGTCTTTTTAAATGTTCAGCTGTCTCTCAGACAGACTTTTTTGATTTGTGTTTTAATTTCACAACAAAGGGGAGCTCCAAGTCTGGGCTCTAGGGATCACACATCACTTGCTAGCAATGCAATATCTACATGTCACTTACGTTAACGTGCTTCTCTCTGTCTCTGAGGAACAAGACAATTTTCCATACAGATGCTGTTGCAATCACCTCATGGATAAGACTGAGAAAGGGCATAATGGGATGCAGAGAAAAAAAAGAACTATCCAGGTTCTCTTGTGCTGCAGTGACCAAAACCAGAGATATTGCAAGATGCACTTACCCAGTGCTGTTCCAGTAGTTCTGACCAGCGTTGCAGTCCTTGGACAGGGAGGATGGGCTGAACCAGAAGGCTGGGATGCACTGGTTGTTGCTGTGCCTCTCATACCCATAGTCACTATGGAGACAAGTCATGAGTCCATCACTGTACCCTCCACTAGGGATAGCTCAGAGTTTTAGGTGATGTCCCCGAGGCAGGTGTGTATTGGTGGTTCTCTGCTGGGATGGCACAACATCATGGATTGGGCTCATCCAGAGACAAAGTGCTGGACTAGTTTGAGAGGCAGGAACTCAAGTCACTGAAGGCATTTGATCCCAACAGCAGAACTACCAACCTTGCAGAGCACTGGAGGACTTGTGCTTCATTTGGCAACAAAACATGACAGATTAAGAAAGAATAGTGTATCGTTCCTTTTTTTCCTATTAATCACTAACTTAAATTTCAATTTTGGGGTTCTTTCGGTTTGTTTGCTTTTTGCAGTCTGCTTTTAGAACAAACCAGGCTTATTCTAAGATCTAATGTCACTTGTTCACAACAGTGGCTAGGAATACAAAACACAAGGAGCACTTCCTGAACAACTAGCCACAGTATGTATATTTATGTATGTTAATGGGCTCCCTGACTGAGCTGTGACTTGCCCCAGAGGGAAAAAAAACAGCCAATGCTTTTCCAACGCTAAACTAAAACACAGCCAACTTCATAGTCTAAGGATTACATGGTATTTTGTCACACAGGGAAGGCAATCCAGGGTATCGATTCTTCCATGGACCACCTAAGAGTGGAAGTGTACACAACCACATCCAAAACTTATTTTTACAGCTGCCTTTGTGTGCCAATACAATGATGAAGCAATAGGATTAATCCAAAGCTTTCCGTAAGTTTTAATAGGGTCTGGATCAGGCTTCTATGCGTAGTCTTTATTGACAGGCTGGATTCAAAGGACAAATAAAAAGAGATTCTGGATTTTTGCCTGCAGCAAGTTAACAAATGCCAACATGCTAACCCTCTGTGAAAACACAGACACTACAGAAGCCACTGTCTTGAAAGCATTCTGTGCCCTTTAGGACACACTGAGTTTTATCCTTCCCCTGTTCAGAGCCTGAACTGCCAACAGAAAGTCTCTAGGAAGAGCTTTAGTGAGACAAAATTGTGCTATGTCCCCAGTGACCCAGGCTGCTAGTACTCTTTTTTTGGAGGGCAAAAATTCCGTAAGCTACTTTAAATGGTTTGGAGATTCCCTAATGCTCTTTCTCTCAACATTCAATTTAATCATTCTCAGTGGGTCCGACCTGCACAGTCGAAAATGCCTGGCAGGGACTTTGTAATTAAAAATATTCAGGAGAAGCTGTACTTTGCCCCAAAGAAGAAAAGACCTGCATAAATATTTAATAAAATTAAAGACAACATTGCTGTGTGCCCTTAAGGTTCTGTGCTTGTTCATTAACTTCTGGTAAATGTATATTAAAACCTCACATGCTGCCCACCTTCCCTCTCATAAGCCGCAGGGTTTGCATAAGTTAAGGAAATAATCAAGTCCAGCTGCTGTGCTGTCTTTCTTGGGAAAGCTATCTTGACAGAGTAAATAAAGAAGCAGGAGGAGAGAAAAGAAAGCTCAGCAAGCACTTTAATACCACTTATGATATCCTTCTGCCATTCTCTCTGTTAGAGAAAGGCCAGGATTTGCTTCTGGAAATGACTGCAAGGGTTGGCAGGAATCACTCCTGATCCTGACTCATAAGGATTTGTTGAACTGGGGCATAATTGTGATTTATGCCCCTGAATTTTAGATCAGCCTAATATCTCACTGCAGAGAACTGCACTGCAACCATGAGGCAGACAGGGGCAAGGGCACTGTGACCAAATGGGAAGGAGCACAGCCCTCACAGCATGTGCTGAAGGGCTCCTGCAGTTATTTGTCCTATCCCCACAGCTCTCAAAGGCAGGCGTCATCACAGCAAGTGGCACGGGGTGCTCCAAGCCCAGAACCAGCTCCAAACCCTCTTACTGAGGAAGCAGAGGGCCCATCTGCCCAGACCTGCTGGTCACTGTACTCACACAGTCCTGGCTGCTGACCCTTCTCCTTCCCCTGACTCCCCCCAGCTCAGTTCAACCCAAGGGACCGACCAGTCAATGCTTTCAACACCTGGCAACTGTGAGCCCAGACAGAAGAGGCTGAGTGGACATTTTTCCTTGGAAAGAAATCATTTGTTCTTGAAAGAGCATCAAGTGAAAGCAGGAGCTGTCCTTTTACCTGTCCTGTCCACCTTTTAGTGAACAGAGAAGGCACTTGTCAGCATCTCCCCCTCTCATACTGACATCCCAAGGAAGGCAGACAAATCTAGAATATATTCTGGAATAACCTGTGCCTTGCCACTGACTAAGCAACTGTCTCATCCTTCAGAAGTCACAGATCAGATCAGATGAGTCCACCCTTCCTCTCTGAAAATCACTTTTAAAATAATCAAGCTCGGTGCCCCTTTTCCAGCACTGCCAGTATTTTCCTCAAATGGACTGTCTCACAGTCAGCCCTGCTGAGTAGCATCAAAATTCACCATGAAGCTTCTTCTGATTCTCCATCACCAGCTATAATAATTTTGCAACTGGAAGCCAGTTAGCAGCTCTGTTGGCAGTGCAGGGTCTGAAACAAAAGCCAGCTTGTTGTCCTCTAATTGCATTTCCTCTGCAGGACTGACAAGTTTAACAGCAATATCTCTCATATTAGGGGGAAAGTTAAGCAAAAAATGATACTGAATGCATGCAAGGATCCTGTCAACTGATTGAAAAGGTGCATTCTGATTCAGATCCTTTTCAAGGCAGCAATTAAGGCAAATTCAGCTACCACAGTTTTCCATTTACAGCTTGGAAAAGACAAACTTCACTGTAAAATATAAAGTAGGTGAGGAAATGGGTATAAGGAAAAAATACCGAACAAATTCATAAGCATCTCTGGAGGCTGGTGCTGGATTCACCCCAGAGGCCTATGCCAATGCCAAGGGCAGATACTGCGAGGCAAGATAGCTTGTCCTGCAAGCTCCCATCATGAGAATGAAGGGAAAAGATCTCATGAGTCAAGATATAGAGTCTCAGATGTAATCTTGACATTAGGAATAAATTAAACACCAATCGAAATCAGATGAAAATCTCTGTGCTATATCCCTGACTCTCTCTTAAAGACAAACTACTACAATATTCAAGAAAATACTTTGGTCGATATTTTTTCCTTAATTTTGATGCAAATCACCATGTCCATGCTCTAAAAGAGAACTGTGAGTCTCAACTGTGAGCCTAAGCCCAAACAAATATACGGATGTCATGCCTCACACCTCTTCAGAAAGCATTTGGAGGTAGGTGTTCAGGAATAGCACCAGTACTGAGTCAGACACTGATCCTGAAAAACCTACTATAAAGATTAAAATGTTTTCTCAGTTGATCAGCTTTCAGGGCATTTTGCATTCCATTTAAATGACATTCTGATAATTTAAGCTCAAAGATCACAGATATTGACAGTCTCAAGTCTTAGAAATATTGCCCATCACAGGTGCCATGTAAGAATTCCTTGTGCAGAGATCCTGACATGCATTCTCTCCAATCTCTGATTGTCAAGCAATAGCAAGCAGTCTCATTTTTCCCCCCGCTTTATTTTTAAGCCGCTTTCAAAGTGACCTTAAATCAATTTGAAAATTATGGTCCCATTAAGTTAGAAACACCAGTATTTATGCAAAATAAGTAGTTATATCTGACAAGGGTGGGCTGTACAGTCATGTCACAGAAGCTCTTTCAGAAATTTCTCAATAAAACATTATTAAGAAGCAATAAACTGTTCCAGCTATTCGAAGGAATAATGATAAAAATGAGCATATTTTGCTGGCTTGCCCCCTAGGAAGTCAATGACCTTGGGAGTGAGGACAGAGAAATACCCTCCTTCTTCTGTAAGGAACATATTTTGAAGAGAAATCCAGACTGTCGCTCTTCTGGAATGACAGACATAAAATGCCTAGCAGTACTTGCAATTATTTTGCTTTTGAATTCCAGGCTTGGATTTCTCATGGAAATATTTCTCAATATTTCCTGCAGATGAAGGGGAAGCTTCCTTCACTCAGCAGGTTTGGGGGTCACATTTCTGCTATTTGGTATGATCACAGCCATAAAGGTGCATGACACCCAGTTCCTCTGCAAGGTTTTCTGTCTGGGTAGTATTTTGGGACAAAAATACAGCCCCTACACAAGTCCCCAGAGTCACATACTCACCACTCAAAGTCTCCTTGGCTACAGACACACGGTTCAGACACCACAGTTTGGGAATAATCTCGACCTAGGGAACACTGGACTCCAGGCTTGCGTTTTTTGTAGATCTTCCTCTCTCCCATGACACAAGGCTCCCCCTTCATTTGCCATGGAACAAGAGGAGAAACAGTTTTAGTGGCAGCTGGGTCTTAAATGGAGCACTTTTTCAAAAGACATAAAAGGCAATGAAAATGAGCATTTATCACTGGAAAGGTGGGGAGTTAGAGTCCTGCTCTCCTTTGTGGCTTTGCAAATCAAAAGTCTCCTTGGGAGGGTGCATGAGCACAGTGTGCTCAGCGTTGAGTTGGGATGTCAGTGCCAATGTGCCCAAAATGCCTGGATGCCCAAGCCATCACACCCACTTAATGTCACGTCTCAGAAGGCATCCACCAATATCTAGTCCTATGAACTACCCTGAAAAGACAATGGGGGTGGTATGCCAGGGTTTCTTCTGTATGGCAGATAAATCCACTGCAGAAGCAAGTGCCCAGGCCTGAATCCAAGGGCAGGGGACAAAATCCAGGTGTGTAAAACAGAGCTCAACTCTCTTGCTCTTTCTATGATAGAGCTGGCTTTGTTATGTACAATTCTGATGGTGTGTTTCACTGGGCTTTTTGAATGCAAAGGTTTCCAAGAACACTGCTGGGAGTAGCTAATCTAAAACAAACATTTGATATCCAAGTGAGTTGCTATAAACAGAATTTTCTATTTTGCAGAAATAATTTGTCTGCATAGAAGCAAGAAAAAAGACAATACCTAATTGAAATACTTCTCTTCCCTATTAAGAGCGATTCCCAAGATTGCTGCATGGTTACACATATGTCTTCCCTTTTCTTTCATTTAAATTATTTCCATTTATTCAATTCTGTGACTTCAATTATCTTATCCTTGCCAAATTAATGTTCATTCCTCATTCATGGATTTCATTCAGGAATGTCACAGTGCCAATGGTTCTGGCTCTAGCTGTGTTACCCTGCAGAGTGTGGATCATACTGGTAGCCAGTAACCCCTAAGTAATCTGCAGAGGTTATTGTTGTCTTAGTTATAGTCGCCTCAAGACCTAAATATACCCAGCATGAAAATAAGCCAGTGTATGAAAAGCAAAGCATGTATCCTTGAGTAGGATGAAATAATATGGTTTTCTCTGGTGTCTTTTATTCAAGGGTTTTACAGATATTCAAGAGTTTTACAGATACCTGCAGGACCTGCAGGATGAATAAATGTTTTTATTTTCATTTTTGAGTAGGGGAAATAAGAGGCAAACTGAAACAAAATTATTTTCATGAGTCAGTGACAGAGCTACAGAGAATTCAGTGTCATCTACACTTCAATCATAAGGTGTAGTTTTACACTGCCCTAAGCATTGAGGCCAAAAAGATCCAGCTGGTGCAATGGATTATTTTCATAAAAGTAGAAGGCAATCTCCTGAACTTGCCCGTAGATGCCTGGCCCCATGTTTTTTCATGTACATTCTTCAAAGGATCCAAAAAAAATTCCATATGCTTTGCTGTAAAGAACAACTGCATTCCCAGCTGGCAACACAGAGCAGGGGAAAAGGAACCCCCATCAACACCTCCCTCCAGGGGGGATACCTGATTGTGCAGATGCCAGGTTTGGTAGTCTTCTTTGCTACACCTGCGGCTGAAGAGAGACTTGTAATCCACCTTGACCAGCTGCCACTCAGAACGGAGACTGAAGTGCCCAAAAACTCTGAGCATGGGAGACAAAAGAAAAGAAAGAGCCAGAGTCAACCAGACTCATACTTCCATTTAGCAAATAACATCTCATGGATCTCAGCTACAGAAACTGATACACAGTCTTGGAGATTAATGCCAGAAAATGGTATTCAGTCATGAATAATATTTTCCTGTTCTTACAACATCTCAGGAGTGTTTAGCCTTTTCCTGACACCTCGTACACAATACAGTATTGGAAGGTCTTCCCATGACCCTAGCATCCAGCAAAACAGAACCCAAGTCTAATCACCCTTATTGCAATGTTTAGAGGACAGATTTTTTTTTCTTTATTCCAAGCCTTTCACTAATCTACATTTTTACCCAAGCCACTTATGAGACTAAAATTTTTGTTGTTCTAATTATTCCAGACTAACAAAGAAAGAGCGAAAAAGACAAGATTTCCAAAATTTCCTGTGAAATCAAAAGAGAAGCAGAAGACAAGACTTCCCCACACTGTAGTTCAGATCCTGCTGTGTCCCCAGTGTGCTATTATTTACTCTAGTTCATCACTGTAATCATACAGAGTTGTTGGCTTTGCTCTCCCCACTCCTTCAGTACTCTGCACCAAAATTGCTCTGCATTGTGCTGTTCTCCATGAAACAACCACCACGCAGGAATCAACCATGCTGTCCCCTGGAGACCTGTCTCAGCTCATGGGGACCAGGGACACAAAGGTGGGTAGGCAGTATCTGAGAGAATGAAGTGGTGGGTTTGCTGTGGACACCTGTCTGTATGCAAGTTCTGCCTCACAGAGAAGCTGACAGGTGGGAAGGATATGATACAAGAAGAACCTGTCTGCTGTCATGAACAAGTGGCTCAGGTTAGAAGTGAGCAAGATGGGGAGGACTTGTCTGGCAGAATGGATTTATTAGGTAGATTGTTGCTGGCTGTCCAGAGCCATTCTCAGTGTAGACCTAACTGTGGGTTGTTAGTGACAGAAAACACCGAGGCATTCAGGCCACACTACAGGAGAAGCTGCAGCTCCTGTTCCTCAGCACAGAGGGCACACCCTGGACCAAGACAACCAAAGAAGGATGGGTGTGCCAGAGCTCTCATTGGGAGCACAGGGAGGAGTGGGAAGGAGCATGGTGGGGCGATGCAGAAAGCCTCCAAAACTGTACTCAGTATAAATTCTAACTGCAGTTTCCCTCCCCACTTTTCCTCAGCACTGGGTACATCCCATCACCTGTTACATCACAACTGCTTTCAGCACACACAAGCTTGTTTGTTCTGTGTGACTGAAACATCAGTCCCTACAAAGCAGCAATGCAGCAGGCAGAAATCATTTACACCAGCAGATTTATAGCAGTATAGGATTTGGTGCTTATTACGTGGAAAACACAGGAAGAGAGAACATGACCAAACAGAAACACTGGCCTAAACCCAGAAGAGGACAGGGTTGGAGAAATCCAACACTGCAAATCAAAGCATCTAAAAGGAAAATCTTGCTCCTCAGATTAACTGCCCATCAGGAAAGCAAAAGTTTTCTTTGTGGTTTTTCAGAAATCATCAGCATTAGTTGATTTTATTATCTACTATAAAAAGATTTTTTAAAATTCCTTCTGACATTGAAATTCTTCCATGTTAATTAATGAAAAAACCCAAGTTTTTCTCAGAAAAGGCAATATATTAGCATTCCAAAAGCACAGAACATTAGATACTCTTTAATTAAATGATTTCAAAGTAGATCTTGGTGTATAATTGCTACAATTTAGATGGAAACAATACTACAGTAAATGTAATTAGAAGAGTGTGAACAGAAGGATGTTTTCCTCTGCACTGCAGAGATGGTTCTAGGTCACCTGAGTCCTAAAGCAGTAACTTCTCTACTCCACCCTCCCCTTCTGAATAAAATCTCCTGAAGGCTAATCAGTCCCTGTGGAAGAGACTTTGGAGATAACAGCAGCAGAGAAGCCAACAAGCATCTTCACCCAGTGGGTTTTGCTCACCAATGCCAAGTTCCACCTTCAGCATGGCTTCATGGCCAATGTCATGAACATCATGTGACAGCTCAAGATGACTTTTTTGTGTATTTGACACTCCTGTCAGTTTCTATAAGCAAATACAAGGAATGGAGCACAGCACTGTGTGATCTGTGGGGTTCCATCAAGGTTCTATCAAGCAGCTTTCCTTGGAAAGTGATGCAAATCTTCATTGTTTGTGAAATTAAAAATGAGCTGAACAAACAATAACGGAGCACAAACCCTGACTGAACAAAAGCAGGTGCTGAAACCAAACTCCGCTTTCTCAGTTTTATGAATGACATCACTGGATGTTTTTCCATAGGGCCCAAGGGGCATGCACATGACCTCTCCCACCACATCTGTTTTGAGGCAGCCAGGTCCAATAGAGGGTTGGGCAGACAGCAAAGAGCTACAACATTTTAAAACTTAGAGTGTCCAGCTATCAGTAAGTGCTTGGCACTAAACGCTCCAGTTGTTACATATTGGTTTCTCTACCAGGTGCCAAGAAACAAGTTCCAATGAAAGAGATGCAAAAAGAGATTGTTGGGGCCCTATTTATCCCTCCTGAACTGGTGAGTCCTCACATTGCTTTGAAGACACCATCTCATTCAACTTATCTGATTCCATGTGCCTTCATTTCACATTTACTTTGGTCACTAAATAAGGGAGGTGGATTTTTTTAATAAACGTATCTAAATTATCAAGATAATACAGGGAGAAAGGAAATGAGGTACTATAAATTTTGCCTCAATAACTTTGTCTACCATGGTCTGAAAGCTCTTAATTACTTGTTGCAAGCATAGAAAACAAGAGAGATGGGTTTTCAAGGTCCATATTTGAAAAGCCAACAAAGAAGGTATATTTTGATTTTTCCATATAAGCAGTCTGATCTGGAAGTCGTTGAGAAGTAATAAATACAAGAGCCCAGATGGTATTTAGATAGAGATGGTTTTCTGACTAAGCTCAATTTAACAAAGGTTCTCCAACCCAAGACATAGAATGGTAATTTACTGGCTTTAGACTGCATAGATTTTGTTCTATCCCTCTGACTAAGCAGTTACAATTCCACATAAAATCTTAGCTAATAGGGCAGCATCTTCTCATCTGGCTCTATGCATAGCTTACAGTGAAATCATTACTAAAAAAAACAGAAAATGCTTCCCAATCCTTCCTTTGGAGAAACAAGGCAAGGCTTTTATTGCCAGGGCTGGGTGTCATTAATTTGCAGAAAAACTATTAGAAACATGGAAATCAATTCTAAAATGCTTACAGTTTCATGATGGAGTCATTTTAGAAATGATCATTGGTAATGTTGCTATAATTATATCTTTCATTAATTTTTTAAATACATAGTAACTTACAAATGTGGTATACACTGCCTGGATAACCTTGTACGGGAGTTCTCTAAAAGGCTTTTTACATTTATACAATGCTCTCTTCTCAAATTCCATTGCTTTTGCTTTATCATTCCTTGTATTGTTGAATAGTTGTGCTTTTTATGTAATTCAATACTGCTCAATTCCTGCCAGGTCAACAGAATGAACTGAGGGTCACAAGATAACAACTCACCTGCCTCTGGTCCATAGATTCAATCCCTGTCCCTGCTCATGGTATGAGAAACAGAGCTCCTCAAGTAATAGCTCCCACAAGAAAGGCATCAGCTGTATCCATGTGGATCTGCCCCTGCTGGCAGTTTCAGACTAGCTGCCCAAGCATTAAAATGTAAAATTAAAATGTAAAATGTAAATTCTCACACCTAAATCAAGTCCTCTTCTATCATTTCTGAAATAAACTGGTAGGACATCATATGGAGCAAGCAAGCACTGAAGCTGCCTGTACTTGGCTGGTGTGGATAAGGATGGAAGATTTTCCCTTCACCAGTCCTCCCCGCTCCTTTGTGTGCAACACTTGCTCAGATGTGCCCAGCACTGAGTCAGAGGCCTGCAGATGCCAAGGAAGGAAGAAGGTGATAAGGTAATTTTCACTGCACCTAACATCAAAAGTACCCTCCTTTCTGAAGCAGTTTTCCTTCACTGGACATCAACAAGGTGAGAAACATAAAAAGATTGGGTGTTTTTTTCTTTTGCTTCTCTCAACGTACCTTGGGGACCTCTGAAACTAGATTTTAACAAGATTAGGCCCCACAGAATAGACTCTAAGCATTTTTAATATCTAAAAATAAAGTAAAAGCAAAATAATGTAATATATTTAGTAGACAGCATCTTTTGAGATGAACTACATAAGCAGATGGATGGATCAACAGAAAAGTAAAGCCAGAACTAAGGAAATAGAGCCAAACGTATACTTTAATTGATAAAACTGAAAGAAAAGCTAATTGCAGTGTCATCATAAATAGACTGTTTCATTTAGAAAAGCCTGAAACCAACCTTGAATTTTATTTCCTTTTGTTGTAAAATAAAAACACTTGCAGAGGAAGTGTCTTACCAATAGTAAAATCACCCAAATTAGTAAATACTTCTGCTGACCTGAATCTGTGTTTTTGTTTTGAGAATGTAGAAAGGAAGAAAGTCAAGTAAGATCACCATCTGATTTCAGTTAAAATCCCTCTTTATTTACATCTGTGCATCCTACAGGAAGTGCCAGAAGTAGATATTTAATGGGCAAACCCAAGAAGTGTTATGAAGCACAATCTGGAAGAATCACCTCCTGGCAGGAAAACAAGCATGTGTTGGTTTGGGTTTTGGTTTTTATTTTTATTTTTTCTAGTCCCTAGAGAGGAAGCTCTTCTCTCACTGAACCCAGAGGGAGTCCCAGATCTGGAGCAGTGAGTAGGTAATTCACCACAGCTGAAGGTGCTCATTCTCATCCTGATGTCCAGCAGAGAAGCACATGTTGCTACTGCTGCAATCTTAACAGATATCCTCTCATTCATAATTGCCTTGATTTGTTTGGGATTTTTTCCCCACAAGCCAGACTACACTGGTCCCACATTTCCTGGGAAAAGGTGAGCCTATGCTAGAGCTGCTGGCTCAGTGAACACTTACAGAAT